AAACTCTCCTAGAAAGACTCGGGCAGGTGCTAATAGACCCACACCCTCTTCTGTTTAGTAAAGCCCCTACTGATGACCTTGGGCCTTTCTTGGGACCTGAATGCCACCTTTCCTTCAGATAGCAGGAACGAAGACGTGTGGGAACAGCAGATGGAGGAGCATTGGCACCAGCAGGCGAAGTGGGGGCGACGGCAGCTCCAGCTTTAACTAAACGGACATGCGCTTGTCAACTCAACGATGTGACAAGACAAAACATTGCATTGAAACAGCATCTTTGGTCAGCCAGAAACGCAACCTGCCGATGGCAGAAGCAAGATCTAGCAGTGACCGTGCTGATGAAAGCTGACCACAGCGGCTTCATGCTCATAAACCTTGTCATCATCATCATCATCATCATCATCATCATCATCGTCATCAGTAGCCCGGGCAGTCATGAAGTAAACCACTGCAGAGCAGCTGTAAGGATGGAGCTGAAGATGCAATGACAGAAGAAGGAGCCTGAGTGCCAGACGCATGTAGCCAAGAAGCTTCGGATCCTGCAGGGATGCGATGAAGGTTTCCAGCTCCCAGGCGCGAAAAGGGCAGGTTTAGGATTTAGGGTTTAGGGCTTAGGGTTGGGTGCTTAATGATCTGGGGCGGTGCAGCACCGTCACTGTAAAGGGAAGTCATCCCTTCAACCCGAATCGTCTCCGTACCTTGATGGGGTATCCTGACCAAGCGTGTCGCCCGGCCTTGGCAAAAGTGTCCGTGAGCTTCAGATCCTGAGCCAGGTTTTTGGGCGGCATTTCCCACAAGTTTTTCAAGTCCCCCATATGCTCCAAGCCCTTTACCCCTAACCCCAAACCTCACAAGGGAATTCAACTCACAATCTTGCTGATCCCGGAGAGTCCCTAATATACTAGGTTCCCCAGTAGCCCCTAAGTAATAAGGGTACACTTTGTTCTATTATTTGGTTTTACTATGGGAACCCAAAAAGAAAAAGGGCAAAAGGGTACTACTGGGGGAACCTGGTATAACTGTAGTATAACATACCCCAAAGCCCGGTCTTGGGCTCAGAGGATCCAGGTGGGCCGCTGGGTTTGTCTCTAGGGGGGTAGGGGGGTTCATAGCTATAGGGCTTAATATAAGGGCCTTATTGGAATAGAGTTTTGGAGTTACATTGCAGTCAGACATGGACTATAGGACTAGGACTAGAGGGGAGGTGTTCTTGCTACTTGTGCAACCTTCTATATTGTGCTGGAAGCAAGAATGTCCGAGGTGCCACTAGGTTGACAACAACCTATTTCTATTCTTCTTGTGTCAGTGCTATGCGGTGGTGGGTGGGGTGTTCATGTCTTTATACGCGTTATTACATACCCTCCTTGTCCGCACTCTTCGAACTGTTTCGGTAACTAATGCAGAGTCTAGTCAAACAGCAGCTCCCCTCAGGCCAGTGCCGTGTTCTCCATGAGCCACCCGATCGCAATGCGCTCGTAGAAGGCCTCCAAGTGGGTTCTTTCCCGTCTAGCTCCTTTGACATTCTTTTGTGCATCCGGACTGGGGAATCCTGTTCCATTCTAAACCCAAGACCTTGCACGAAAAGCTTCCCTCCGTGCAGGTAAACCATTTTAGCCCGTCAGCTTTTGCATGTTCGATGCCCAAAGAATGAAGCTCCCACCATGTACAACACTCCCCTGGCTAAGGGTTCAAGCCCTCCGACTTAACTCAGGACGTCGCATCATCAGGACCTAAAATCATAGGATGGGCGTGCATGGACTTAAGGATACTCTTCAAACCTCCCCATACACTGTATGCTGCATGAACAAGCGTGGACGCACGATGTGCATTAAGATTACCGCACGGTTCTGTGCACATAACTGTAGCGGGCAAAGCCACCTTCTGAAACAACTGTTGGTCTTAAAACTGAGACGTGCCACATGTCTAGGAGAAGTGAGAAACAACCAGGTGAATCCCAACAAGTACGCTGAGACTACCTCGCTACCCGAAGCCTTTATAACCCCAACATTCCTTCAGCCTCGTCTTCCTTGCGCAGCAAGAAGTAGTAGATCTCCCACCTTAAGGGTTTAGGGTTTAGGGTGAGGGCTTCGGGAAAACTGCTTGGCAATTTCCCAGTTGGTTTCGAGGCGGCTCAGCACGAGGGAGGCATTCATGCAACGTCTGTGATCTCTCACGGGACAGTACCTAAAGCCCAGAAACTCCGTAGTCTCGAAGTGCAACAACTTCCTTAAAAACAAAGGATCCAGGGGCACTATTCGCTCCGAGATAAGATGGCTGCTTAAGGCATGATATTTGAGTCTCAGAAGTTGCCAGAGTCTCCAAAGAACCCCTTAATTCAGGATCCGTTTGGAAGTCTAAGGCATAGAATTGAACTGAAAGGATTTGGAGCTGCTCTTCCCACCGAGCAGCTGCTTCGCGCTCGCCGTGCAGAAATCATCCTCCTCGGCTGACTGGGAGCTGCGAAAGGAGAGGTATTGAACTGGTCTTGGTGCTGGCAGGAGGTAGTAGTGGTGGTGGTGGTGGTGCTCTTCGTAGTAATAGTAGTCGTAGTCGTAGTGGTAGTGTTAGTAATTATTACAGCACCAGCAGTAGCACACTGGCAGCAGCTCTATTAGCCGTGGGTGCTGGAGGTGGTGGGTGTGCTGCTGGTAATGGGTATCATGTTTGGCACCTTGGGATTGCTCTTAGGCTTGTCGGAACCCCTCGTAGTAGGCTTAATGTTCACGACACGTTCAGTATGAACGACAATCATGACCACAGTCATAATCTAGAAATGCAACCTTCAACAGCGACTATGACGCGTGCTGCCTGGAATGGCCTGGCTCAGGGTGCAGGGTTGTCGGATGGGAAGGACGGGAAGGACCCATAAAATAAGCTCAGGGTCGAGCGATTAGCCTTTGCAATCATGTAAGCCTCACCTGCTGTGCAGTCGGATGTCTTGTTATGGCGGCCATTGCAAATCCTTGCGTGTATCTGACACGTCATGCAGGCACGTTGTCGTTGTTGATGAAGTGGAACAATCTGTTTGGACATAGAGAAGGCCTGCATACAAGGTCCTGGGCAGGCCCTTCAACATTTGGGCTCGGGCATTGCAACACCACTCAACAAGAACAGGTCTAAATAGACTGCCCCTAAACCTGGCAGCATGTGCCACAATGTGGATCGCTGCCTGAACGACCAAAGCCACGCCTTTTCCAGTGCACGCCCTTGATTGCTGCCAACTTTGGGCACGCGGTCCTTTGCCTTCAGTTTGGGGTGTTAAGGGGGCGACTAGGACTGCCAGGGGTCCACCAATGTCCGACCTGTGCTGTAATCAAAAGGATTGTATACCCAGACTTCATGTGATGCATCCCAAGCACTATTTCTTTTACTCCACTGTAGCATTTGAACCGACTTCAGCTATACAGGAGGTGTCATGCTTCAGGATAGGTCGCCTTCAGGCCACCTAAGCTCTGAAAGCCTAAAAATCGTGTAAAGAGCTGTCAGCGAATCAGTGCGGATTGAAGACTTGCACCTAAGTCAGGAGGAGCTATGGACCCCAGACACACTAGTCTAGACCTATAAGACTTTAGACTCTAAATTTAAACCCTGAAACCTAACTAAACTAAACTTTAACCCTTAAACAAACTACGCTGGGCCCCTGGGGTTTAGGGCGGGTTCGATCACTTCTCCCTGCTCTTCGACTCTGAAACTTGGGTGCCTCCAGTTCAGGGTCCCTACAAGGGTTCCCAGAGAGCCCCGCATCCCTTAACTAAGGAGTATACCTTGACTTACAGGGGCCTTAAATCGTAGGGTTTAAGGTATATTTTCCAATTGAGGGCTATTGGGCTCTCCGGGTACAGGGGTGCCCACAAGGGCTTCTAGAAGGGGTTTCGGCTTCAGGCTTAAGGGTTTATGTACGTGTAGCCGGAAAAGAACAGAGGAGATATCATGAAGAAAGCATGAGCCGAGAAAGGCAGGAGAGAAGGCATAGCGGTTTCGTGGCAGCAGGAATAAGAACGGGTAAGTCAGGCAACTGGAGGAAAACAGCTATCTACAGTGCATGTGTGTGTATAGATGCATATGTAGATATGCCGAAACAACCACTTGGTAGTGCAAAGTCTGGTTCTTCTGCGCTTGTCGACAGCGGCAGTTGTGGTCATCGGAAGCACCATTATGCCATAATCAGCATCAGTGTCTGCATCAATATCAGTGCCAGTATCACCACCATCATCATTATCCCCCTCCCCCTCACAAACACTTGAAGCGACCAGAATTGTACTTCAAACGTCTTTCCCAATACTGACAAGTTTCAATATTGTGAGGTTGAGGCTATGTAGCACATTGCTGAAGCCGTCTGCTCTGTGAGGCTAGTTCCCTTATTTCTTCAATTTCAAGCTCTTGGCCTCCCGTGCTGGGCCCTAAACCCTAAACCCTAAACCCTAAACCCTAAACCCCAAACCCTACCCTCAAAGCCCTCCATTAGAATGTCAATGGCCTTCGAGTGAAAGGCCCTAAGGGTTAGTCTCAGGGTTTCTATAAAGCGGTGCCACAGCGTTCTCAGAACTAGGGGCTACTAAAAGGGCCACTATAGGGGCCGTAATAATTAGAATAGGTTTTAGGATATATCATACTAGAATTAGAATGAGGAGCCCCCAGAATAGTATAGGTAATTATTTAGGCCCCTAAGGACTACTGACATGCTCAGGGTTTCTACAGAGTAGGGGTCCAAAATCTCTGGCGCGGGGCTCTATGTATATGTATACATATATATATATATATCTATCTATCTATCTATACACGCAAACCCAGTACTGCTGCAACAGCATGAACCGTACACGCATGCCGGGAAGTATTTGTGTCGGGCGGAGTGTACTTGGCTTGCTCAGGTTTAAGCATATCGCTTCCGGTTGTTGAGACTTGACCCTCGAGCTCCTAAACCCTAAACCCTAAAACCCTAAACCCTAAAACCCTAAACCCTAAAACCCTAAACCCTTGTGCCGATCTATCTTCGCACCTCGGCCTCAACGCAGCAGTCGGGGTGTCCGCGCCGATTTCGAGGTCTCGAAGAGGTCCTATTCATGGTGAGGCCCCGGATCTTGTAGTGTTGCAGTTCGCGGTCCGATCGACGCAGGAAAGTCTTTGCGTGGTGTTGGCTACTAGGGACCTGCTACAACTATCAGTTACTATATATATATATATATAATATATATATATATATATATATACAAACAGTTAAAGCATGATGACTTCCAAGCTCCCCCCGCGTACAAACAGCAAAGGAGGGTCAGCTATGGGCACACTTCGAAGCAACATCACGAATGATGCTGGCTGCGCCGTCGTAGATATCAGCATCAGTTGGGTGATCCTTTAACTTTAAGAGCATGAAGGAGCAGCCAAACATCATGAGCGTTAGCTGCAAGCCTCCTGCGAGCACCATCAGCATCAGTCACGACCCTGCTTCCCAAGCACGCAGCCAGCATCATAGCGTCTGTTCTGGGGCTGCTTGGGCTGCTTGGCACCGGCGCAAGACCAGAAAAACCCATTGGCATCAGCTGCAGGCCTCTGTTAACTTTTGAGGCCACTAAAAAACCAGCAAGCAGCATCACCATCAGGTGCGGGCCTGCTTCCAACCCACGAACGAATGGCCAGCATCATCAGCATCAGCTGTGGGCCTCCTCTGAATCCGCGACCGCCCAGCCAGCATCATCAGCATCAGCTGCAGGCCTCCTTCGCATGAACGACCGTCCTGCCGCCATCATCAGCATCGGCTGCAGGCTTCTGTCCAAACCACGAACGAACAGCAAGCACCATCAGCATCAGTTGCGGGCCTGCTTGCAACCCGGGACGGTGCAGCCAGCATCATAGGCATCAGGTGCCGGCCTGCTTGCAACCCGGGCCGGGGCAGCCAGCATCATCAGCATCAGCTGCGGGCCTCCGTCATCCTCTGTCGAAAACACGAACGAACAATCACCAGCTGTGGCTACCCTCGCAACTACCGAACAGACAGCATCATCAATGCTTTTGCATGCAGGCCCAAGAAGAAAAGGGCACTCATGATCAGCATCAGCTGCAAACCTCCGTCACAACCAACAGCAAAAGCGGCCAGCATCAGCATCGGTTGTGGAGGACCGTGCTGCGCACGAAATCCCAATGTCATGAGCTTCTAATGTGCAAGCCTTTTGCCAAGCATGAGGTAGTGTGAGTATCAGCCGCATGGCAAGGGCAAGGGCTTCCTTCCATGCACGCAACGAACGAGCCAGCCAGCATGGTTAGCATCAGCGGTACCAGCTGCAGCCTCTTTTCCACCACAAACGAACACGTTTCGACTCGTCTCCTGTCATTGCAGATGAAGGCATAGATTCTGGTGAGCCCGCCGGGTTCAACGGGGTCTGTGTGATTGCTGATGGGAACAGACGGCGTATGCGATCACGCATAAGTTCATATCATGACAAGAGCGGCCAAAACACCAACAAAAGTCAATCCGACCCTCTCCAGCGCCCACAAAGACCAAAACGAGAGTTAAGAAGCTTAGACAAACTCCAGTATGCAGATTCATACCTAGTGATGACCGTATCTGTCATTATCAGATATAGTGTCAACAGTACAAATTTCCTTTAACCATGATCACCGCCCACACCCTAAACCCAAACTCTAATCCCTAAGCCCTACACCGTAAAACCCTAATCATCGTCATCGACATCATCATCATCACCACGTGTTGTGCGACTGTCGAGTCTCCAACAGGAAACTGAGCTGTGTGGTCCTCGGAGGCTTTGTGGCGCAGGCGGCTGCTAACAGAGCCCAATCGTGTAAGCTCCTCGGCCAAATTGCAAGATATTCCCTGAACCCTAGATCGCAATCAAGGGGTTCCATGCAGTCTGGGCTTGCAGGGCTTAGGAGTCAACGGTTCGAGGGTTCGAGGGTTTAATCCCTGCCCCAACCACGGCAGACCTACATGTTGAAGGCCTGAAATTAAAAGAAAATCATGATCAGGAATTCTGAAAGTTAACCGGTGGGTTTTGAGGGTAGAGGTACACCCCAAATCGTTTGATCTTCATGTCTGAAAGGCTTCAGTTGTTGGTTGGGGTTAAGGTCTATAGGGTTTAGGATTAGGATTTCATGACTTTGGATTTAAGCATTCTGAGAGTTTCAGTGTTTGGGGTTCAGGGTTTAGGGTGTAGGATTGTAGCCTAGAGGCTTGGAGGGCTTAAGGTGTAGATTACATTGTTTTGGTTTAGGATTCAAGGGTTTAGGCTGTGAGGCCGCGAGAATTAAATATGTTGAGTCCGGGGCTCATGGGTTTGATCTTGGGGTTTAGGGTTTAGGTTTCATTTAGGGCTTCAGGGCTTCTGGGTTGAAGTTCTAGTGTAACAGTCCGATGGTAGGAGTTACTGTTGTTGCGTCTGTCCGGATTTCCCCGAAGAAGAAGGCTGTAGTTGGTTGTGTGAAATAGTAACAATATAACAATATCAGCAACAATATTAATAGCATGCACACATGAATAGAACATCAACATCAAGATTGAAGGATTTTCAATCGCTGGGAACGCCTTGCTGAACTCCACCGCCGGGATCGTGGTCAGCACAGGAATTGCAGCCGAGGAGATCCTTGTCGAAAGTTCAGTGTCAAAGCTCAACTGAGCCCAAAACCTTGTTCTCTGAATCCTACGCCCCAAATTTTGAGGGCTTTGATCAAGCTTTGGTCCGGGGTCTTCATACACGAGGCCTGAAAATTTACACTGTTTATCACAACATTTTAGGGAACCCGAGAAATACGATTACTGCTATTTACCGGCCACTGTATTGATGTGTGAAAGGGCTTCGGGCAGATGGCCTTCTAGGCAGGGACCAATGCAACGAGAAAAATGACCTCAGTGGGATCATGCCTCTAGTCGTTTAGAGACAACATACCAGAGACACACGCGACCCTAGCTTTCATCGTTCGTAACACACATACGGGTGCAGGGCTTAGGGTACGTGTAGACTACGTTTAGACTTAAGATCAGTAGTTTCCAAATTTTAAACCCTGAACCCAAAAACCTAGCACCTTAAGGCCCCAAGAGCTTTCAGGGAGCCTACTGGGGCTCCTTTCCAACCTAATAATTTAGGACCTAATACAGAATAAACCCTGCGCCAAACCCCGCGTCCGAAAGCTGACTTGTGTGTATGACCCCGCTAGAACCCAGCGAGCAACCCAAGATCCAAAACGAGAAGCCGCAAAGTTCTACAAACCTGTACAGCAGTCATAAAACGCTGAGAAAACCCTATAAAGCCCTCAAGCATCCTGTCCTGTCCTGTTCAACCCTTTTGACTTCACCGCCCCCCCCCCCCCCCCCCCCATACAACCCCCGGAGTCCTCGTCTTACCAGCGGCCTTCGTCTCCATCTGCTCTTGCGCTGAAGCCAAAGTGGCAGAGCGGTCTTTTTGCCTGAGCTTCCGTGAACTTTCAGAAAAGCAACCTGTGAGTGTTCTGGGGAATGTATGCTTGTACCAGAGAATCAGAACTTCGGCTCCAGGGTTTCAGATCTTGGAGAGTGTAAGCTTCTCTGGTAGAGAGATAGAGAGGGAGGCTGGGAACGGGTTGTGCCGGACAGTAAGACTGAGTGCTCAGGGGTTTGGGAACGTTGGGTTCATGGGCGTCGGGTCTACAACTGTACAAGTCAAGGATTCGGGGTTGAAGGCTTCTGTGCTGTTGGGGACATTCTAGCCGGACAAGGCATGACTCGCATGACTGACTGCCTGCATTGAGAACGTGGTATGTTCGGGCTATTTTCCTTCGCATGTCATGTCAGCCTCCGGGCATCTGGTTCTGGTGTGTTCGCCTGCGGTATTAGTTCGACACCCCTTACATGTCTCCAGCGTCATGAAAGGATCGGCTGCATTTCAGCTCCAGATTCAAGAACCTCCACACACTCTCGATTCCAAAGCCACGGCAATCGCACGCTCTCGCGCTGACAGGGAACAGCTGGAATGAGCTGGTGATTCGCTGTCCTTTTGCTTGCCATATTGAAGCTGCATCAAGCTGCAGCTGCTTCAACATGCTTTTCCTTCAACTTCCTAAGTGCTCTGGAAAACTAATCCGGTCTTCAGCCTAAGGTGCAGCACGTAGATGTAGTTGGCCCACTCGTTGCCGATGGGATTGTCCTCCAAGTCTATCCTGTCCAAACTCTCAGGAATGAATCTGACTGGAAGGAATCTGACAAAGTTGTTGTGCAGTATTCTGTATTCTGCTACAATTATGTTATAGTATACCCAAATACACGATACTGTACTATGCTATGCTATGCTATGCTATTCCTCTTCGCGCCATGAACCGACATTAGTGGCAATTCGCGCATCCAGATGGAAGCCTCAAAGTCTCCGAAGGGCTCAGTCAGCTATTAGCCTCAAAAAAGCCTCGGAAACCAGGGGTTTAGGGTTTAGGGTTTAGGGGGTTTAGGTTTAGGGTCTGGCCTCAGAGGAGCCTCACAACTCCTTGAAACCAGGGATTTAGGCTTTAGGTTCTTGCCGGCCAGTTTGTCCATGACGCTGCAAGCCTTACATATACCCAACTCCGCTTTCAAGCTTATCCCATGGACACCTCTACCTTGATTTCCCGACAGCCCCAAGCCATGTCGTCACCCCGAACCCGAACACTCCATAAGCCCGAGACTCCTACACTCTGAGCTCCTAAACCCTATTATTCCTATTATCCCCTATACCCTGAACCCCTAAAGACGAAACCCTACATCCGTAAGCCCTATATCCCTACATCACACTGCGCCTCTGCACCACGAGGTTCACCCGAAGGAGGTCAACGAGCCTTGAAAAAAGAAATCGCGCAGGGGAAAGCTTGCAGGAGCCTTCCTGCTGAGAATAGGGACCCTTTCAATTTAAACTAGTTCATGGTTGGGGTAGTATTAAAAATTTAAATTTATATTCCTTACTGGCCTTAGTACCCTTAAAAATGTAAAATGTTACCCAACTATGAGAAAGATAAGGGATCCTTCAAGGGCTCCTTTAAGGCTTTCAAGGGATCCCTGAAGGGCTCTCTTCAAAGGACCTGTGAGGGTTCGCAAAGAAATGCTGCAAGGGCCTCAGTGATTTAAGGGCTCCAGCTAAACGGGTGTATAATACGGGTCCTATTCGGGTTCTAGGGCATGTCGGGCCCTTGTAAATGGACTAGGGTTTTAGGGGTATTTTCTATTGTAAGTATATGTAGGGACTATCAAGGATATACGATTACGAATTGTTCCGACCCCCCAAAATGGCTGGATTGAGGGAAGGCTGGAGCTCTGGGTTCATGAGGGTTTAACGTTGCAAACATGAACACCATAACGTTCCTGGCAGAGATGTCGGCGAAGGAGACTGCGGCATGCTTGGGAAGAACCATGCTGGGCCCAAAGCTGGTCTAGCGCAGTGTAGGGGCAGTGATCTTCTTGTGCAACAATTTTCCGAGCAGGGGGCCGCAGTGCACATGTCCTGACATGTCTACTGTCTACAAGCCAGCTTCACGGTTTTCTTGTCAAGCCGTAACTCTTATGTAAAGCCTCAACCCCCCAAAACCCTCCTGCTGAAAATTCCGAGAGTCTTGACTGCCCCAACTTGCCCAATGTGATTCTTGGCAAGCATGAATTCCTGAGCCATTGGTTTTGGGTACGTATAGGGTTTCATTGGAGGTCCTGCAGCGCATGCTTGACAACTCACGCAATGTCCGTTGGGTTGAGGTCAGTGCCCTTGCAACTTTTCCTTCGAGGCGCAGGGGCGGGGAAACATCCACATCTAAACACTTAACGTTCAAGCGAGAACAGCAGCCAGCAGATTGATGCCGGCATGAGTTTTTCGTTTAACTCGGAAATACATGAAGGAGCTGTTGGGACCAAAACAGCCCCAACACTCTTTGCAATGAGACGATTGCTGGATGCCTGTGTCTTGTGCCAACTAAAGTACGTTCCCGGCAAAACAGTATGTAGGGTAGTAGCCGTCCCTCATTTCAATAAAGTCCTCGAGACCCGTGTAAGAACCCTAAGCCCTTTTTGCTACTGGACTCAAGTCTAGCCATAGGCCCCATAGTAGTTCCTTTTTGGGATTACCTTATAGGATTCTATATGTGAACCCTAAACCCTAAACCCTAAACCCTAAACCCTAACCCTAAGCCCTAAACACAGAACCCCACAAAGAACTACTTTAGGGCCTATGGCCTATGGGTAGCCAGCCTATGACCTGCAATCAGCTTGACCCAGGCCGACATGCAGCACCGATACCAAGGCCGCGCTGTGGCGAAGTCCTAAGCCCTAAAACCGAAACCCTGACAAAAACCCTAAACCCTAAACCTTCATGCCTAAACCCGTTTCCTTAAATCCTAAACCCTAAACCCTAAATCCTGAACCCTAAACCCTAACCCCTTTTTTGCAACAGGCTTCGTACTTCGCCTAACCCCTAAACCCTAAACTACAAGGGCACCTCACCTAATTCAGGGATGTGGGGGATCTCTAACCTGCAGGGGCAAGATGCCAGCAGCGCCGGATGCTCCATGAGGGCCTGGCCAGGCAGCTTGTCTCTTCGCTTAGAGGGGTTATAGGGTTTAGAGGGCTTAGAGAGAGTTTAGGGTTTAGGGTTTATAGGGTTTAGGGTTAGAAGCTTTATAGGGTTTTTTCAGGGCTTACAGGGCTTATAGGGTTTATAAGGGTTGGTTTTGCGTCCTACTTCGCAAGGACGAGCCCTTTAGGGCTCGGGCTTAGTCGAAGGCTTGGGTTGAGGATGGTTTTGGGTTGGGATTCAGGGCTTGAGAGCAGTGTAGCAGTATCGTATGTTGCATATACATGCTTAGTCATGTACACACATGTATATACACATGCAACTTACAGTGGCACACTATTGCTGTAGTTCAACAAAGTTCGGATTTTTTTTTTGAGCTCCGGGTCTTCCAAAGCCCGGAGCCCTAAACGCTCGAAACAAGGTCTTGAAGCTTTCGGTTTTTACGGCGAAGGCATCTTGGATAAAGCTAGCTCCCCGCACTCTAACCAAAAGGTAAACTCGCAGTCCTGATATAGGGGGCTTGCACAATTCGAACGCGCTATTTCTTCATAAAAACATATCTATTTCTCTCACAGGCATTAGGTGCAAGTCTTGGTGTAGAGCATGAATAAAAGGCCCTGTCAGGGAACCTGGATCCCCTGTGCGGCAGCCCCAAATGGGGGTTTCCGAAAATAGGGGACCCTAATATAGCACCCTAAATAATAGGATCCTTATTATAAGGACCCCCGAAATAAGGTACCCCTAATTTTCTGAAACCCCCAAATGGCTTGAAACCCTTCACTCCAACCCTAGCCCCTAGCCCCGACACCCTAAACCCCAATAAAACCTCTCCAAGGATCCAAAAATGTCTAGTTCGCGAAATTACGGTCCCGCTTTAGGTCCCCAATAGTACGGCACCCTAATAGAAAAGATCCAAAAAGGGATCCTAATTTGGAGCACTACCCACACGAACTCCAACCCCGGAACCCGAAGCCCGAAAAAAACCCAATCCTCGCCTGGCAGAGGGTGTGCACACCCTCAGATCCCAGGCTGTTGCTGCCTTGGGATTGTTAGGGCTTGTAGGATTTTGGATTTAGGGTGTAGCGGTTTCCTTGGGCTTCTAGGGCTTGTAGGATTTAGGCTCAGGAGTGGAAACATCCGCACAATTTTTTCGTAAAATCCAATCAGCTGCTACAGAAATCCTTTATGAGCCCGTTAATTGCAGAAGGCTGTCAACAAAAAGCCGTAAAACAATCCCAATGCCCAAAGCTGAACCCTGACCCGGGCGATGATTTTTATGATTTAGGGTATACGGTATATTCCTTGAGTAATCAGGCCTTGGGACTTTATGTCTTCAATTCCTAAGGTTTAGGGTTCCCATGGCACAGATTTTGTGGTAACGCTAAGATGGTGAACATGTGCGAGCATGGTGGGGGCAGCACCACCACCTAAAATTAAGGGTTTTAGGGTTTGGGGTTTAGGGCAAGTTTAAACAAATTTCTCTGATCACTTCTGCATGTGACAGAAACCCTAATTTTTACGAACTCTAAGTCTAACCTCTCAGCCTCAACCCCTAAACCTTCATCTAGAACCCCCCCCCCCAAACTGCCGGCCATAAACCAAAACCTTTCAACTGCTGAGGATGGAGCTGACATCTAAGTGGAGAAGATGCCTGGGCAGCAAAGATACGACTGACGGTTCAGGGCTCAAGGTTTATGTGTTCAGCGTTTGCGGCTTAGGGGGGCTGAGAGTCCGTGAAAAACTCGACTCTTGGCGTTCTATCCATCTAGCGATCATCTGAGCACTGTCCTTTGATCAGCTCCTTTGGGACAAACAGCTCTTATCTCCAACTGTCCAAACGCAAACCCTTTGGATATGTATTTATCGTGTGGAAACGTACTGTGGTTTCAAGCCGAAGGTCGCGCAGGAGTTCAGATTCAACACCCCTTCAGAGAGAGGGTCGCGCACATGTTCAGGAACCTGGAAGACATCCTGAACCCTCAACCCTAAACTCTAAACTCCTTGTAATTGCAAGCCCCCTAAGATCTTGCAATCCAGAAGGGCTTAGCATGGTTTAGCGTTGGGTGCGCAGGGGCTACGCGGAAGGTATTGGTGTTCAGGGTTTACGGCTCAGAAGAGTTTTGGATTTTTGGGGCTTTGGGGTTTCACTCGCCCCCCAACCCTAACGACCTCTACGATCGTCCCCGTCAATTCAGCCTCATACCACAAGAGGAGACAGTGCCATAAATGCCATATCCTGAGAGTTGCAGTGCCCTAGGGCTCCAGTTACCTAAATAGTAGGTTACTGGGGTACATAATATAGGGTTAGTAACCCCCTAAACCCTAAACCCTAAACCCTAAACCCTAAACCGAACCTACTATTTAGATAACTGGAGCCCTTGGGGGTGTTCATTCAAGTTTCCCTATCGGAAGCCAAGCCTTGAAGCCTCAAAGGAGGGTTGTTGAAACCAACCCAAATCCCACTTTGTTGTAGGTTCTTATTATAAACCCTAATGTGGGGATTTATATAGGGACCCTACAAAAAAAAAGGTAGGTTTTGGGTTCTTTTTTTTTTTTTAACCCTAAGCCCCAAATCCCTGGCCTGTCCGCACGCAGTGCCGCGGCGACGCCTCGGAGGGCCGCACGGCGGAGGCCCAGGCCGGCTCCCGACAAGTTCAGGTAGCTCACCTCAAAGGGCTTAGGGTTTAGGGTTAGGGTTTAGGGTTTAGGGTTTAGGGTTTAGGGTTTAGGGTTTAGGGTTTAGGGTTTAGGGTTTAGGGTTTAGGGTTAGGGTTTCGGGTTAGCGGATTTCTATGATGGCCCCCATGGGGATAGTGGTCGAGTCGATTATGGAAACTAATATACCGTGGCAGCGCTTATGGCGAATTCAATGACCTTTTGACATGCCTTTGCCGTTGCTATCTCACGGCGAAAAAACTGTCAGGACCACAATTTATTCATGCATGAGCAGGGTTTCACTGCTAGTCTTTATTTTGGCTTCTTGGCCTTCGAAAGTGGGTGAAGCAGTACACTACATCCCGAAGAGTGCTTGAAATCAGTTCGTTACGGCGTTAAGTTGTAGACCGGCAAGCATAAAGATGATCAATGGTCATCACCGGTGAAACGAGCATGTCGTCAGCACCAATACGCCCATTGTCGCCACCACCGCGCGCTAAGACCACTCGACTATAAGTACTCTTCCTGTTTACCTGGCTACCAACTTCGTCCTCCCCTTGTTCAGCAGCACTGTTCTCAGTGTTGACACATGTTGGGTTTTGGGGCCTATGGTCAACGAAGAAAGGGCGTGAACTCCATCAGAACGCGCCAGCCAGCAAATCCCTTGTCGAGGCCCTGAGACATTCCAGCCAGACGGAATGGTCGCAAGAACAAATGATTCAGCGTCTAGGTGCTGGGACGCATCAGACTCAACATCCTAGTATCTTAGAATCTTAGTCATAACGCGAAGCCCTGAAGAGAAGCAAGGCTTACGGCAAGCCTTGAGCATGTTGGAGAACTACATGTGAGATACAGGTAGAGGCGCATTCGGCCCTCGCACGAAGAATTCGGCCATCAAGTTTGCCTCCAATTGCAGTCTTGGGGTTGAAGTTCAGTCAGTAAGCTTGTAATTGTGCCCGTGCGTTCATTAAAGTTTTAATTCTGGGGTTTCGACTCTCACAGCTTGGCGAAACGGACATGTGTTGAAAAGCGCCTATCCCTGCGTGCGACGTTGAGCATTGAGGCTTCATTAGGGAGTCGGTTTTGAAAAGCCCCCTCGGCGTTGAAGTGCTTGCACTTCCTGTAGGGCTGTAGGGTCTCGGACATGCCAGGCGAGGCTCTTGGTGCTTAGCGCGTTGGGAAAAGAAACCTAAGTTTGAGGCTGTTCAGCACATAGGATCTCTAGGGTTTAGGGTTTAGGAGTTCAGGATATAGCACGACTGTGGGCCGTCCCCGAACTTTTATGATGCACGGAGCCTCGTTTGGGTTCTCAGGCGCCAAGATTACAAGCCCACATCTATGTGGTATGGTGAACGGCAGGATGCCTGGGTACCTTGAGGCTCCTTGACGTGAGACTCTGTAGGGTTAGGGTGACGGTTTAGGGTTTAGGATTCAGGGTTGAAGTTTTAGGGTTTAGGGTGTAGGCTGAGTGAAGGGTGCTGGAGCCTCTTCCAATTTGTCGGCTTAGGCGCGGAGGGTGTGGGCTTCCAAGCTTTAAGTGAATAAGCGCAGGACACTAATATGGTGAAGCCCTAAACCCTTCCTAACCCCCCCAGCTACCTACTATGTAGGGCCTTAGGGGCTCTAGTACCCTATATAGTAGGTACCTGGAGGGTGAGGGCTCAGTTCTAGACTCTAGGCACTTTCTTGCAACGGGAACCTAAACCCTACATGCTAAACCCCTGGCCTTGAGCCCTACACCCTGCATCCCGAGTTACAAACCTGGGACCCAGTTTAGGGTTTAGGAGTTTAGGCTTCCAAGGAGGATGCAGTAGTATCGAGACCAAATCTCGACAGACGCGGTATCCTTTACTAACTGTGCCATATTGCAATTGTACCCCTAGCCCTCCAGGTACCTACTATATAGGGCCCTAGGTGCTCTAGTACCCTGTATAGTAGGTACCTGGGGGGTTAGGGTACTATACTGAGCGGTATTACACTATAATGGACTGTGGCTTGTCGGGCCTGGCGTTCAAAGCTTCAGGATGTCGATTTTAAGGTCTCTGGCTGAAGGCGCGCTATTTCTTGTGGAGGCTCTTTGTTCGAGATAGATAGGTACGTACGTGCATACACATATTCATGTCGAGGTGTATATAACTGTATATGTATGTATCTATACATACACATGTATGCACTGCTATTTCTTTGTACACCTATACATACATGCGAGTGTGAATGCTATCACATGCACGGTACCCTTTTTTGAGCCCAGACTCTGTTGATCAGTACGGTACCCTAAACCCCAAACCCAAAATGCTAAGCCCTAAACTCCGACCTTCCACTCATACTATTTTGGGGGTGCTCCTTATTAGAATTGTAGTCTAATATAC